CTTCCCAAATGCCCCTCCAATCATACATCGGGTATGTAGCTACTCCCTGTATCACTTTACCCTGCCAACCTGTCCTCCCAAGCCTACTTACCTTTACTTTTTTTGCTTCCCTTACTGCCAACAAATTTCGCACCATATCTTCACACACCAATGAAGATACACACAGATGCACACATAAGGGGGATTACCAACAGACCCCTGGCAGTCTTCAAGCTGGCACTGGACAAGCACCTAAAGTCAGTTCCTGATCAGCCAGGCTGTGGCTCGTACGTTGGTTTGCGTGCAGCCAGCAGCAACAGCCTGGTTGATTAGGCTCTGATCCACCAGGAGGCCTGGTCACAGACCGGGCCGCGGGGGCGTTGACCCCCGGAACTCTCTCCAGGTAAACTCCAGGTAAACTCCAGGTAAACCAGTAGTGCCTTCCCCTTCCACCATTTTCACACATCCTCCATGACCTCTCCCACCCTTCTACCCCTCTCCCCTCCCACCCTCAAGTACCGCTGCTTCACATACACTGCCTTCACTCGTGTGTCCAAAGGTATAAGACCCAGCCCACCCTGCCGCACGCCCATCATCACCACCTCCTTCCGTAGCCATGGCTTCCCATAACCTCACACATACCTCACCTCTCCAGTTCCTGAATATCACACGACCTCAGGAGATATACTTCTGCCACTCCCCACACTTTACTGTACACAAGTGTGTTTACTACCACCACCCTCTGCTGCAATGTTACATCCCCAGCCCTCCACCCGCGCATCCTACCCATCACTCTACTCACAACTTCCTTGGAATTTATTCTCTGCACCTCCACAGCGTCCACCATATACACAGCCCCACATATCTTAATTCTATCCACTACGTTCCACCCATACAGTTCCCCCCCCCACCCACGTGCCTACTTCTAATAACTTTGCTCCATATACCCTCATCCCTGTCGCCCCACCAAAAATCTCTATTATACGTCCCACATTCCCCAATCCTATTTCCCCTCCCACCAAAACTGTGGTGTCATCCACATACCCCACAATACCACATCTGCCAGGACCCACCTCTCCCTGTTCCCACACTCCTTTCTCTATAAGCCTATAAAAAGGGTCCTGCATGCATGCAAAGAGGATTTGAGACAAGGGGCAACCCTGTCGCAAACCCATCCCCAACTGCACCGGCAACCCTAACTTCCCATTAACCTGTACCCTGCCCATCGTAGGCGTATACAAAGTAGTCACCCAGTGCACAATCTCACCCCCAAAACCCTGTTTTTGTAAAATACTCCACAACATACATCTATCTACACTGTCATAAGCCTGCTTCCAATCAATCCCCAAGATCCCCCCCCCTTGTTTACCCTCCACAAAATCCGTAATTCTTCCATGCCCCTCGCGCATACTTCGACCTGAAATCCCACACTGTCCTCTATGTAGGACTCGGTCAAGCACCTTTTTCATACGATTACCTAAAACCTTCGCAAAAACTTTATAATCAGCACACATGAGGGAGATCGCCCTAAAAGCACCCAAGGTCTTCCCCCCTCCCTTATAGACCAAAGCAACTACCCCCGTGCCTTGCGATTCCCCCAACACTCCCCTTTCCTTCATACAGTTAAACAACGAGACCAGACATTCCTTCATACAATCCCAATGTGTAATATAGAAATCATTAGGAATCCCATCAATGCCCAGTGCTTTTCCCCTACTCAAGCCCATTACCGCCTCCTCCACCTCCTCCTCACTGATCCTACCCTCTATTACCGCTCTCTCCTCCTCCCCTAAAATACCCCGAATTCCTTCTCCCAGAATCTCTCCCTCCCTCCCTACTCCCTCCCCCTACTTAAAATTCTCCCTAAACCAATAATCAGCATAATTGCTCATTCCATTGGTGGTACTAAGTACCTGCCCCACCCTATATCCCCCCACCCCTTTACACACCTCTAATTCCATAATCGTGGTCATCTGTTGCCTATTCCTAAATCTCCTTAAAACACATCCTGACGGTTTGTCACCCCATAGAACCTCCTCTAAACCTTCCCTCACACGTATCGCATCAAAACGAGAATTTTGTATATCCCTCAATCTTCCCCTTAAAACCTCTATTTCTCCATGTCTAGCCCCCCTCCCCCTTCATAACAATCATTGAGCTGCCCCTCAAAATATTTCTGTAAACCAAACGTCCACCTCGCCTCATCCCGTCCTCTATGCTGATAATACTCCTTAATCTGCAATTTAGCGTGCTTCTCCCACCATTCCAAGACATCCTCCTCTTTGTTGCGAACCTCCCAGAGTTGCCTCCACCATTCCCTAAAAAACAACCCCTTCCCCTCAAGTAGCCTCACATTCATTTTCCAATAACCCACATACCTACGAACCATCCCTTCCCATGCCATCTCTGCCAAAACAGCACGATTGTCTGAAAAACCTAAATCTATCGTCATTACACGTTCTACTGTTATATCTCGAGTTACATATATACGATCCAACCTGGCAGCATAACCCCTCCGCATAAACGTGTGCTCTACTCTCCACCCATCGCCCCTGACTATGTCATAAACCCCTGCATCCCTCAACAAATCCCTCAATACCCCAAGCACACACCCTGCCCCTCTCGGCTCCACATCCTTATTCCTGATTACACAGTTCCAATCCCCACCTATTATAGAAACCATGGGTGAACCCCGCATGTAGAAAAGCAAAACCTCCCTTACAAAATTCACCTTTACCCGTATGTTACTATCTGCCGGTATATATATCCCCAGAAAGCATACTCTAATCTCGCCCCATATTCCCTCCACCCTCACCACCCTCCCCTCCCCCCCTCTTCCCACATGAGCACGTGGAATGGGCTGGACTCCCTCACTGCCACAGCCACCCCACCCTTTAATTTCCCTGAACTACCAGCATACATCCTAAAACCGTTCAGCCTCAACTCTCTACCACACTTAAAATTGTGTTCTTGAATAAAACACACATCAATGTTAAAACGCCGCAAAACATCCTCCAGCCATACTCGTTTACCATCAGCTCTAAGGCCATTCACGTTTATAGTTAGACACTTAAAGATTCAGAAAGGGTGACTTTCCTCTATGTCTCTGTGTCCTGTCTGTTACACTTTTTGCTGCTTCTGTCTTTTCCCGTGCACTCTTTACCGCCTGGACCCCCTCCCCCCCTGTGCACTACCCTGCCCGTTCTTAATCACTCCCACCCACGTCTTCTTCCCTGAATGCTGAGCTAGTGTTATAACCTCCTCATCCGACGAGCCTCCAGCTCTCTTTCTAGATGTACTCTCAAACTCCATATCAGTATTTCCACTCCCCTTGTGCACCTCAGCTTCCACCTGTAGCAACTGCAACATGCCAGACTCTGACCCCGAAGGCCCTGGAATCTGCTCAATCAAGTCCTTCTCAACCATCAGAATTCTCCCGTCTGTAGATGGGTTCTCCTCTGCAGGCACGTCCAGGAAAGACTTAATCATCTCCTGTAGGGGCGTAGATAACTCCTGTAGGTCACCGGCCTCCCCCACCCCCACAGGCTGCTGCTCAACATCTGGGTCTGTCTGCGGGGGAGCATCCGAAGCCACTGGTAGCGTCACACAATTCTCTTCCACGCCCTCCACTTTGTCCGCCCAATTACCTTTGCCTACTGCACTCAGTCTTCGGCAGAGGTGCCGCCAGAGACTCTGTGACTACTTGCCGTTCCCAAGGCCGTGGCGCTGCTGCTTTACCACACCCAGCTGCCATGTGGTCAAAAGCGCCGCACAGGCGACACGTCTTGCGTTGTCCCACGTAGGTCACATACATCTGTGTCCTAAAATCCTCCAGGACAACATACGAGGGAATAGGTCTTCTCAATGTCATCTTGATGGTGTAAGATCCAGCAGGCAACCCTGCATAGATTCCATCCGTCCATCGGCCTAAAGTTATAGCATGCACCTCACCATATCGTTGAAAAATCTATCTGATATCCACATCATCTGCCTCAAAAGGGACGTTGCGGATCCTCACCCAGGTGTAGTATTTTGAGGCATCCCGCAGGCGTACCTCCAGTCCAGATGATATGGTGATACTCCTCTCCTGGTACTGAGTCACTGTCCTTTCATACCCCTCCACTGTGCAGAACTTTACGAAGATTCTTGAAGAACCATTAAGCCCTATTCCATGTAGTTCTTCAATGTCAATGCCAAACGTGTCCCATATAATCGTTGGTAATAAAACAGAGGCATTCGTTGGATAAATTGTCCCTTTAACAAGGTCAACACACACGGTGTTGCTCCTCCTGCGGTAGTTGGCAGCCATCTTGGTGAAAACAAGGAAGTTGCGCAACAGAGAAAGCAGGAGCTTTTTGCGCAGCGCGTCCACACGGCCTGAGAGCGATGAGGACAATGTTTTCTTTATTGCGAACACTTATGCATTGTCTTGGTTTCAGATTACTGCTAACCAGAACTCCTAAATCTTTCTCGCAATCCATAATATTAACATCTACATTATTTAGTTTATATGTGGCATGGTTAATGTCCTGTCCAACATTTAGAACTTTGCATTTGTCTATATTAAACTGCATCTGCCACTTCTCCGTACTTATGTATGCCGTAAACCAAACATTGTAAGCTTTACAAGGAAATAAACAATTATTATTTATTAATATTATTATTATTACATATTATTACATTTTAGCCACCAGGCCCGGTGGCCTGGTGGCTAAAACTCCTGCTTCACACACGGAGGGACCGGGTTCGATTCCCGGTGGGTGGAAACATTTCGACACGTTTCCTTGACACCTGTTGTTGTCCTGTTCACCTAGCAGCAAATAGGTACCTGGGTGTTAGTCGACTGGTGTGGGTCGCATCCTGGGGGACAAGATTAAGGACCCCAATAGAAATAAGTTACAGTCCTCGATGACGCACTGACTTTCTTGGGTTATCCTGGGTGGCTAACCCTCCGGGGTTAAAAATCCGAACGAAATCTTATCTTAACTGGATGCTTGGAAGCTGCCAGTGGCCCTTATAACCCCAACATAATATTCTGGAGAACAGTAACGTGGCCCTATAAACCACAACAACAACAACAACAGTAACTTCCTGTTACAAGTAACGAGAAAAATTGCGTGAGAATAATGGAGAGCATCGAGAACATGTTTTTTAAGAACATTGACAAGACTCGTGACCAGACGACTAAGTGTGCTTTTTCTGTGCTGGAATACATCACTGATGGTAAGTGAACCCCAGGGACCCAAGTCATGTTGTCTGTCCTTTTTGGGCCCCTCAAGGAAGGTTCCTTGACGCTGGTGAGGGGCTCTTGATCTAGGGAATTGGATCTGTGGTCCGGTTCCCTGAATTGAACCTGAATACCTTCCATCCCCTCCCAACAAGCGGTGTGTAATCCTACGGGTTTAGCGCTCCCCATGATTATAATAATAATAATGACCTTTTTGGGTTATCTTAGGTCATCTATGTGCTGCTGTGTGAGATAATTCATATAATTTGTATATCTGTGCTTGAATAAACTTACCTCAGTGGGAGGTTCCTTGATGCTAGTGAGGAGGGGCTCTTGATCCAAGCAGCTGGAACTAACATCCTTCCCCTCCTCCCTTGGCTCAAACCTGATTCAAACTCCCCACCCCCAAAGCTCTATATGACTCCTATAGGTTTGGTACTTCCCCGTGACCGTAATAATGTAGGTATAAGCCACTAACAATTTACATCGTCACTTATCCTAGCATTATTTATTTTATAGCTTATACTAGTTTAGCCCCTCAAGGAAGGTTCCTTGATGCTGGTGAGGGGCTCTTGATCTAGGGAATTGGATCTGTGCTCCAGTTCCCTAAATTAAACCTGAATACCTTCCACATCCTACTCCCCCCCACAGGTGATGCATAATTGTAAGGGTTTAGCACTCCCCCTTGATTATGATAATAATAATAGTTTAGACAGTTTATCCTTTTATAATTTACTTAAATGCACCAACAGTACCAGTGTTGTGTGCTCCAAACATGTGCTCTCAAAAACCACTGTAAATATTACTATTTGCAAAATATTTGTTTCTAAGAGCCTTCAAAGTAAGGTTCTTGATGCTTGTCAAGAACTTTTGATCCTAGTAATTAGTTTTTTTTTTTTTATGTACACTCTGAAGGTGTTAAGGTGCTGTTATATAAAGCATTCTGGGGCTGGGCTTTGATTTTATTCAAGTTAATATTGAAGGGTTAGTAACCCAGGATAACCAACCCAAAAAGTGTGGCCTATTTCCATTTTATAATAATATATCTTTATTTCTACAAGTACATATACAAGGTATACAGGCCTAGCTGACATCAGTGACATACATCTACTACTATATAGAAAGCCCCTTGTTATGTAGAGCAATTTCCCACAAATTAGGTCAGTTTTGTCCCAGGATGCGACCCACACCAGTCGACAAACTCCCAGGTACCCATTTTACACTGATGGGTGAACAGAGACAGGTGTGTTATGGAAACACATCCCTAATGTTTTCCAGCCGTACCGGAGATTCGAACTCCGGACCTCAGTGTGAGAGCTGAGTGCACTCGTTTTTTTTTCCCTCCCCAGGATGGCACTTGCAACAGTCTAACACTTACTGCTAGGTCAGCAAGTGTAAGGAAGCATGCCCAACATTTCTGCTTGTAGAATGTAACAGCTCTCTACTTGTAAATTGAACTACAGTGTGTAACAAAAGAAAACCAGGAGAATAACTCTTAGTCATGTAACTATTAACATTGGTATGATAAACATCTCTGTTCACATACTGTTGATGTATAATTTATTATTTTTTTTTTTTGTAGAAAATTTGAAGACCAAATATTTGAAAGAGCTTGAGAAGGTCTTAGTGATGTGTGTGGAATCAGAACATGCCGTGGCTCTTTCTCGCAGAGCAGCGAAGGAGGCTGAAGCAAGATCACTGGACGAGAATACAAATTTACCAAGCGCACAAAAATTTGATGAGGTATGATCTCCCCTTTTTTTATCTGTAAACATCTTAATTAACCTTGATTACCTTTCAAAATAAAGTATTGTAAAAGGGTAGATTTATTTTTCACCTTTTCCTTAGTAGATTTACCTAAGTTTGTGTTGGTCACATCAATGCTCCAGCTCTACTTGATGTTTCACATGTATACTTAACACAGCACATTGCTTTTCTTGCATTACTAGTCTTGTTAAATTTATATTACAAGTGATTTTCCCATACTCCCGTATATTTTTTGTATGTCTCTTATTATGCACAGATGGAAATCTTTGCTTATAAAGCAACTGCAGTACTTTTTTGCTACTCCCACAGCCCAACCTTCCTGCCTTGTCATGCTCAGTACATAATTCATATCTGTACTCTGTACCCATGCTGGCCTGCTTTACTCACATCCAGTTAGCCTCTAGCATTCTCACTGTCTGTTGGTCTCCTTACCAACCTCAACAGAACACATGACCATAACACAAGGCACAGATCACTCTTTGATGTTCCTCATGTCCATCTCACACTATGCAAAAACTCAATGCACATAAAAGGCCCAAAAATCTGGAATTCATTACCTGTGAATATAAAAGAAACACTGTCTGTATAAATTCAAGTCTCTTCTTAAAAATCACTTACTCACCCTCAACTAAATAAATACTGAATAATTGTATCTCATAAATGTTTAACTTGTGACCCAATCAAACTTTGTTATTTTTAATTACATTACCTAACAGAATACTTCATTCTACTGAATGCACAGCAACATAGTAAATGACCATATGACCTGTCTTTGAAATACTCATTTGTGCTTAATTGTTATTTGTTTACAATAATGTTTACCACTGAATATATCATTGCTTAGTTAATCTTAAGTTAATTTTAAGCCTTCCTATAATGCTCTGCATACAAGGGGCTTTGGCATGTTATACTTGACCACTGTATTTCTTTCTACTTCTATGTATCATGTTCAAATTAATAAATAAATAACTTAATTTTGCTTAATAATTGCCTGAAATGTCTTATTGTATGTAATTTATCAATTAAACTTTATCATAGGTATGTATTTAAACAAAAAATGGCTTATGGGGTTTGCTATTATCGTCACTTTCAGGCATTTGTGGTAGGTCTTGAAACATATCACCCACAGATACAATGGGGCTACAGTACATACTACATGCATGCATGCATACATACATACATATATTTTACACTATCTACTTAGTGTGACCTAAGCTTAAGCTTACATTTGCAGAAACTACTGTTTAACAACTGAAAGGCCTCAAGCTCTGTTTCTTATTCCTGTGTGGATTTTTGCACATTCTAGTCTCCACCTGTGACTTTTCATTACTATATGCATATATGTATATGAACCCTGTATTATTTTATCACAGGCTTATGTGGAGAATATGGAGGAACTGGAGCAAGACGCAGTTATTGAGGAAATTATCAACAATGCTCCAAGTGTGAAAGCATTTAGAGAACAACTTCAGGCTCAGATTGGTATCTATGTTACTCAGTGTTATTTATTAACTTACATTGCTTATTTTTATACCATTGTCTAATTATTTAACAAAATATTGTAAGTAATCAGTAATTTTATTTAGTATTGAATTTCTTATTCCTCATCAACCATAAAGAACACACAGTCATTCATTCAGTCACTATCCCACAAAAAATGTGTTCATATCACAATTCAAATTACCCTTCCAGGTTGCAACATCCTCTTAGCTATAAATGTTTGATCAATATATTGATTTATATTATAAGTAAAAGTTGACCCTAGTAGGAGGAGATTAGAACTCTTCCCTCATAAACCATGAGTGTCATACAAGGGAACTAAGATATCATGAGCAATGAGCATGTTATTTCTTTCCAGTGGTGGCACCAAGAGGAAGTTTGCAGGGCTTCAGCCACCTATAAAAATTTCTATACCCCAAGCCAAAAAACTAAAAATATTGTAGTAAAAATAACAATGGTACTTCAAAACAAGTCTCTAACACCCCCATCCCCTTCCAACTTGATAGCTTCACCTAAGGCCACCAAGTTTAGAAATTCTTCACTAACTTTGCCTCTTTCCCAGTAATTAAAAATAAAGAAAGTTCAAATTATTTTTTTTGGGGGGTAAAGGGGGTCATACTGCCTTGGTGGGAAATGGCTAGTAAGCTGCATTAAAATGTGTATATTACATTACATGCTAATGTTTTTATTGCTGAGTCATCCTTTTTCTAATGTTTAGTGAAGGGAAGTATTGTGTTTCTGCTAAATATATATCATTTTAATAACTTTTTATTAATGAGCATTTCTAATATAGTTAGGCTGCTCCTAGCAATAAACCATTTTCATTTGTCTTATTAGTATGCATTATTATTTACCATTTCACTACAGTACTTTTAAGCTACTTCCACCTGCATGGGGTTTGATTGTAATATTAATCCTCATAATACAAAGGTTATCAAGTTCATGTGTAAAACGAATTTAGTTACAAAACCTTCACAGATCTCACTTTGCTCTCTCTATCAATGATGTTTCTCACTTCATCAACTCCACTTTGAAAGAGCACAAATTGTTTTCACTTAACAGTCTGGTATTTTCCTGCCTTCACTTTCGAAGTTCTAAATTTTATTTTTTCATATTTATTTTATCTTAGGTATGGACTGAATTCATCTCCCTTAATTTCTGGCACCAGTGAATCATTATTTGAATGGGAATTTTTTTTATACCAACACACCAGCCGTCTCCCACCAAGGCTGGGTAACTAAAAAGAAAAATTAAAGTTTTCCTTTTAAATTTAGTAATTTATACAGGAGAAGGGGTTACTAACCCCTTGCTCCCTGCATTTTAGTTGCCTCTTATGATATGCATGGTTTATGGATGAAGGATTCTAACCCACTTTCCCATGGGAATAAACAGATATGAATGGAGAAAATACATTAACTATAAATCTTTTTATATATATAATAAACATTGGTTAGTTTTCAAATTAAATTAACCTTATGTTTAGTTCCAGTGAGTGCCAACATTGATGATGACACAGATCTGGTGACAACTCAACACACTATCAATTTAACTGATCCAATTAGTAAGATGCCCATGACCGATCCTGTACGAAATAAGCACTGTGGACATGTTTATGAGAGATCAACTGTAACAAATATGATAAAATCTACTAAACGTAAAAAATTTCGGTAAGTATGAAGTGATAAATATATATATTTTTTTTTAGTTGTATCTCATAGTCAAATATGTATTTTGAAAGAAGTATAGCTCCTGTTAGGTATTTTATTTGATACCTTAGGATTTTAGTTGATGCTGTTGGTAAATAGAGTAATTTTTGAAAGCTAATACAGTATATTGTGTTTTCTCTAAGTACTATATTTATATCTCTGCAGCTTATTTCACTGATTTACTCACTAGCTTATTATATCATTTAATTTGTTTTCTTGCTTATTAGCAATGCAGATTGTGTAATGATTGCTGCTTTTCGCTTTCTTTTCAGATGCCCTTGTATGGGATGTGGGTATCGTGAGCCAATAAAATTAACTGACTTAGAGGATGCTCTTGATGTAAAACGACAAATTATACTTCAAAAGAAATAGAATTGCATCTTGAGAAATCAGAGTTGTGAATAGGGCTGAAGATGCAGAAATAAAATAAAAAATCTAGCAGTTATCCAAAAGGGATAACTAGTTCTGTGTTCGCATAGAAAAATGAAAAATTATAAGACTAAAATCTGTGTATGGTATAGTATTAAGAAACACAGTAAAACCTCTCATTAATGTATTTTGGCAATTTTGGACACAAAAATTGGCAAGACAAAATGAACAAAAGTCCATAATTCCGCTTTTGTCTGTAGCGATAGTGTCCTGTTATGTTCTGAAGTATCAGGCCAAGTCTGCTAGCTCTGATGCTTGTCCAATATGGGCCAAAGCAGCCATGTCCAGGACCTGTCTATTTTCATTGTTCCCTGATCTTTAGGCTACTCGCACCAGTTTGTGCTCACACACATACACTTGTCATTCAGTTTCTAATTTGGAGTTGCAGACAATTGGCTTTTTCATACTCTGCCGCCTTTAGGTTCATTAATGAGAGGTTTTACTGTTCTGGATTGCAATGAGAAGAGTACTCTGAAGTTCACAAGATTTGCCTGCCATTTTACTTTTTCTTGAGAAAGAAATAAAAGGCCATCAGTAATATCAGTGAAAAACATGCTTTACTCATTTCTTACCAAAATATGCTCTCATGAACAATATCTTTAGAGTTTTGCTTGCTTTGCTATTATAAGTGAGGTAAGTCCTACCATTTAGTGTCTTGACAATTACATAATGGTTAGGTATTTGAAATACTGGACTGTACATTGAATCTGCCTACAGTGGCTTCTCGCTCTCTTTTTCTTAACCACTTCTGATCTCATTCTCATGCTATCACAGTATACACCGATGGTTCCAAGTCTTCTGACAGTGTCAGATTTGCAGCAGTGTTTCTGGACAGCATCATGCAAGGGCATTTATTATCCTTGGCTAGCATTTTTACGACTGAATTGTACGCCATTCTCGTAGCACTTATCCGTATTGCATCTATGTCTGTGTCACCACTTGTGGTCATTTCAGACTCCCTTAGTGCTTACAGGCTATAAGAAAATTTGATACACCTCATCCCCTGGTTCTTTGTATCCAACTATGGTTATGCCATATCTGTAGCAAGCACAAAGATGTTGTTTTTTGTTGGGTCCCTGGTCATGTTGACGTATAGGGCAATGAACAGGCAGACACTGCTGCGCGGTCAGCAGTACATGACCTTTCAGTTTCATATAGAGGTGTTCCATTCACAGACTATTTTGCTGTAATTGCTACCCACCTTTGTACCCGCTGGCAGCAACATTGGTCTGTTCTGCTACATAAACTACATTCTATTAAACCAAGTATAGGTTTCTGGCTGTCTTCTTGTCATCAATGTCGAGGTTGGGAGACTACTCTCTCCCGTCTTCACATTGGCCACACTTGCCTTACTCACGGGTATCTCATGGAGAATTGTCAGGATCTAGTTTCTGTTAGCCATATTCTGTTGGGCTGCCCACTCCATAAACGAGCACGCAGAATTTACCTCCAACGTAATCACTGCTCTACTGCCCTTACTTTAGCTTCCCTTCTTGCTGATGGACCCTCCTTTAACCCAGACTCATTGACTTTTTGACAGCAACTGATTTACTGCACAAACTTTAATGATGATGCCTCTAGCACTCCTCACAGCCCTTTCTACCTCAGTCTCGTGCTACCCTCTACCCCTGCACTATCCACTGCCCTGCTGCACTCCATGACCTAATAATAATCCCTCTCCCTCTTGCTACTCAATACCCCTTCATCCTTCCCTGCCCTGCTGCAGTGTATGACCCTTTTAGGTTTAGTGCTTCCTTTTTATTATTATAATGTACTGTACATTGAATATTATGTTATTCTGTGAAACATAGTATGTATTTGGTGTTTGAGTAACCAGTAACTCCAGTTATCTGATACCCCTAATGGTGTGTAATGCCAAGGTAATACGTACTAGTTAATAGAATTAAAATTAAGCAGGAGATAGTGTTCAGGGGCTTAATTTGGCCATAGTATAATTCAAGATTCCATTACATGCTGTGCCCATGCTTGACACCTCACTAGGCCTCAGTCAATGTGTTGAATCACTTCCAACTATCATCCTGACTAGTGCCTAGTAATTTGTATGAGCCTCAGTTATTAAAATTTTTAATATGTCCTCAAATAATGCTCAGGAAGCAAATGAAGTGTGTTGTGCAGAGTATTGAGCAAAAAAATAGTGACTGAAACTGAAGAATAAGTTAGGAGGGGGGAGGTTGAAGAATTTATAAGCTATGATTAGAATTCACTTCAGCAGGTCATTGGTTACCATAATACAAGTGAGATTTACAAGAAAATTTTTGAAAACCTAATGTGTGATGTTTTAAAAAAAAATGTATAGTGGAGAAATAAATTTCCTTTGTGTCCGTATTCAGCAGTGTCTTGGTCCTGATATTGTTGCATAGAATGAAAGTTAAACTATATATGTGCTCTTTAAATTAACATTATTTGCAAAAAAGCACTTAACATGTAAAAATTTGTCTGTTTATGATAACTAGTTATACTGTATTGAAACATTTTATGTCAAAGAATGAGGCCCAATTATTTTCTCTTGAAGTCTAAATGTTGCAAGTTGAATTACACTGCATAATTTTGTGATTAACATGGTAATGTGAAATGTAACACATTTCTCATTTGTGAATTAAGAATTGATGCAGGAAAGAGGAAGTCAGAGTATTGTTTTTGTAATGGCCATATTTTACGTGTTTTTAAATAATAGAAAACTTTTTAATGTAAGATTTTGTCATTTTTCCCAGTGAAGTTTGGCAAATAAAGTAGTAGGTAGATTATTATTTTGGTTTTACATTTTTAAACTAATAACTATATTCTACTTTATCAAATGGTAATTCTTTCATTTTTTTGACTCATATTGTCAGTCATTTTATTTTTTGCATGTATGCCCCATATGGGTTTAGTGCTTTTTCAAGTTATAATGATAACATTTTTGTCTTTAATTATTATTTATAAAATTATCTTTGTGTAGCATCTTATGAGACAGTTCTTTGGTGTGTAATGTATATAAAAGTAAGAAACAGACAAAATGTCTACAACATATAGACAAAAACTTTGTCTACATATGATGAGGGGTTCTTGATCTAAGGAACTGGATCTGTGCTCCAGTTCCCTGAATTGAGCCTGAATGCCTTTCACATCCCTCCCCCACAGGCGCTGTATAATCCTACGGATTTAGCGCTCCCCCATGGTTATAATAATAATATATGACTTAACGGTTTAGTGACTGGTTTTGATTATCGGACCCTTACAGGATTTTGCACTTTTCCCCAGAATATAATAAAAATTACATCCACAGTTTGGAAATAGAAACTAAACGACATATTGGTTTATTCTGCACAATTTTGTGGGTTTTTAGCACTACTCCTTCAATGTTATTTTTTTTAACACTGGCCATCTCCCACCAAGTTAGTGTGATCCAAAAAAAGAGGAAACACCTTCACCATCGTTCAGTTAGCTCTGTCTTGCTACAAGTGTACTGACATCACAGCTCAGATAACTCTCTGAGCTGCAACATCCTCACCTCCCCTTAGACAAGGTTCCTTCATGCTGGTGAGGGAGCTCTTGATCTAGTGAAATGGATCTGTGCTCCAATTCCTTGAATTAAGCCTGACTACCTTCCACCCCGTCACCACCACAGGTGCTGTATAATCCATATAGGTTTAGTGCTCTCCCACAATAATAGTAACATCCTCACCTGTTTAAAGTGCATGTTGTATCTGGGCACCTCTGCAAAGACAGTGATTATGTATGAGTGAGGTGAAAGTGTTGAATGATGAAAGTATTTTCTTTTTGGGTCTCCCTGCCTCGGTGGGAGACAGCCGACTTGTTGAAAAAAAAAAAAAAAAATTTTTTTTTTTTTTTCAACAAGTCAGTCGTCTCCCACCGAGGCAGGGTGACCCAAAAAAGAAAGAAAATCCCCAAAAAGAAAATACTTTCATCATCATTCAACACTTTCACCACACTCACACATTATCACTGCTTTTTGCAGAGGTGCTCAGGATACAACAGTTTAGAAGCATATACGTATAAAGATACATAGCATATCCCTCCAAACTGCCAATATCCCAACCCCCCTCCTTTAAAGTGCAGGCATTGTACTTCCCATTTCCAGGACTCAAGTCCGACTATAAGAAAATAACCGGTTTCCCTGAATCCCTTCACTAAATATTACCCTGCTCACACTCCAACAGATCGTCAGGTCCCAAGTATCATTCGTCTCCATTCACTCCTATCTAACACGCTCATGCACGCTTGCTGGAAGTCCAAGCCCCTCGCCCACAAAACCACCTTTACCCCCTCTTTCCAACCCTTTCGAGGACGACCCCTACCCCTCTTTCCTTCCCCTATAGATTTATATGCTTTCATGTCATTCTACTTGATGCATTCTCTCCAAATGACCAAACCACCTCAACAACCCCTCTTCTGCCCTCTGACTAATGCTTTTATTAACTCCACAACCTTCTCCTAATTTCCACACTCTGAATTTTCTGCATAATATTTACACCACACATTGCCCTTAGACATATATATATAATATATATATATATATATATATATATAATATAATATATATATATATATATATATATATATATATATATATATATATATATATATAATATCGGATCATTATTTAGTTGTAGCTACAGTTAGAGTAAGAGGTAGATGGGAAAAGAGAAGGTGGCAACAACAAGTAAGAGGGAGGTGAAAGTGTATAAACTAAGGGAGGAGGAAGTTCGGGGTGAGATATAAGCGACTATTGGCAGAAAGGTGGGCTAGTGCAAAGATGATTAGTGGGGGGTTGAAGAGGGTTGGAATAGTTTTAAAAATGCAGTATTAGAATGTGGGGCAGAAGTTTGTGGTTATAGGAGGGTGGGGGCAGGAAGAAAGAGGAGCGATTGGTGGAATGATGAAGTAAAGGGTGTGATAAAAGAGAAAAAGGTAGCTTATGAGAGGTTTTTACAAAGCAGAAGTGTTATAAGAAGAGCAGAGTATATGGAGAGTAAAAGAAAGGTAAAGAGTGTGGTGAGAGAGTGCAAAAGGAGAGCAGATGATAGAGTGGGAGAGGCACTGTCAAGAAATTTTAATGAAAATAAGAAAAAATTTTGGAGTGAGTTAAACAAGTTAAGAAAGCCTAGGGAACGTATGGATTTGTCAGTTAAAAACAGAGTGAATGGAGACAAATGGTTTTTAATACTTGACGTGCTGTTGGAGTGTGAGCAAAGTAACATTTATGAAGGGGTTCAGGGAAACCGGCAGGCCTGACTTAAGTCCTGGAGATTTGAAGTACAGTGCCTGCACTCTGAAGGAGGGGTGTTAATGTTGCAGTTTAAAAACTGTAGTGTAAAGCACCCTTCTGGCAAGACAGTGATGGAGTGAATGATGGTGAAAGTTTTTCTTTTTCGGGCCACCCTGCCTTGGTGGGAATCGGCCAGTGTGATAAAAAGAATAATATATGTATATTATATATATATATTATATATATATATATATATATATATATATATATATATAATATATATATATATATATATATATATATACGTATATATAATATATGTCGTGCCGAATAGGCAGAACTTGCGATCTTGGCTTAAATAGCAACGCTCATCTTGCCATATAGGACAAGTGAAAATTTGTGTATGCAATAATTTCGCCAAAATCATTCTGAACCTAACGAAAAAAATATATTTCACTGTGTCTGTTTAGTATTAAATTACTGTAAACGAATCTAAAATTTATTTAGTTGGGTTAGGCTAAAATAAATTGTTCTTGCTGTAATAAGGTTAGGTAAGTTTTCTAAGATTCTTTTGGTGCAAAATGAAAATTTTTTACATTAACATTAATGAAAAAAATATATCTTTAAACGTATAAAAGAAAATTTCAGAAAGGACTTAATTTTAAATGAGTTCTTGCTAATTGACCAGTTTTACATATTCGGCACGGCATATATACAGTGGACCCTCGCATAACGGACGCCTTGCATAACGGACAATCCGCATAGCGGACGCTTTGATCGCTAAAATTTTGCCCCGCATAGTGGACAATAACCCGCTCAGCGGCCTTCGTCCGAGACGCGTCCAATGTGCGGCCTGAGCCACGCTCACATGTTCCGCGGGTGGCATTGTTTACCAGCCAGCCTCCGCGGTAACATCCAAGCATACAATCGGAACATTTTGTATTATTACAGTGTTTTTGGTGATTTTTTTCTGGAAAATAAGTGACCATGGGCCCCAAGAAAGCTTCTAGTGCCAACCCTACAGCAATAAGGGTGAGAATTACTATGGAGATGAAGAAAAAGATCATTGATAAGTATGAAAGTGGAGTGCGTGTCTCCGAGCTGGCCAGGTTGTATAATAAACCCCAATCAACCATCGCTACTATTGGTGGTACAGCTGCTGCGCTGCTGTATCACCGTCAGCTGCTGCTGCACTGTCAGCTGCTGCTGCTGTACCACCGTCAGCTGCTCCTGCTGCTGTAGTACCGTCTGCTGCTGCTGTAGCATCATCTGCTGCTGCTGTAGCATCGTCTGCTGCTGCTGTAGCATCGTCTGTTGCTGCTGTAGCATCGTCTGTTGCTGCTGTTCCAACCGTCAGCTGCTGCTGCTGCTGTAGCATCGTCTGCTGCTGCTGCTGCTGTAGCATCGTCTGCTGCTGCTGTAACATCGTCAGTTGCTGCTGTAGCATCGTCTGCTGCTGCTGTAGCATCGTCTGTTGCTGCTGTAGCATCGTCTGCTGCTGCTGCTGCTGTAGCATCGTCTGCTGCTGCTGTAACATCGTCAGCTGCTGCTGCTGCTGCTGTAGCACCGTTGTTGGTGTGGCTTATTGAGAATACCAAGAAACAATTAACCCCAGAGGATTTGCCACCCAGGATAGCCCAAAAAAGTCAGTGTCATCGAAGACTGTCTAACTTATTTCCATTGGGGTCCTTAATCTTGTCTCCCAGGATGCAACCCACACCAGTCGACTAACACCCAGGTGAACAGGGAAAATGCCTGGAACTAGTGCTCATATTGGTGAATTTAGAGCCAGCAAAGGTTGGTTTGAGAGATTTAAGAATCGTAGTGACATACACAGTGTGATAAGGCCTGTTCTGGAAGAAAATACCAAACAGGACCTACAGTACTCAGGAGGAAAAGGCACTCCCAGGACACAGTGTCTCATCAGTCATTGCTGCATCTTCAATAAAGGTAAGTGTCATTTATTCTTCATTTAGTAGAGTAGTAAATGCACAATATATATTGTGCAT